GCCTTTCCTTTGTCCTTGTAATAAAAGCATTTGTGAAGAAATTCACACTGCACATGCCATCTGGCATCGCTGGAACGAAATATGAGTGCACCCTAATTAAAATCGTAAAATTTCTGACAATGAGCACCGCCATTCACTCCAACTATCACCCCTGCACCACTGACCCTCATTCCAAAAGAATGTGCTGGTTGGGCGACATAACAGGTTACCGCTACTGTGTATTCCAAAAACATTGTGCGTCTTTCGGTATTAATTTATCTCAAAACCCAGCATTTTAATTTCTCAGAAACGATCATTGCGGGAACATTGTGGGCCGGGACTAAGATTTTTGATGCGATAAAACGATAGTTCGAGGAACGATAGAAGCGGGAAAATGTAACATTATTTTATATGGGATGTATTCGGGACCGAACAAAACGGACGATGCATCCGGGAAAACGATAGTTCCGGGAACGATGGATAGAGGTTTCACTGTAATTACTATTCTGTCATCATGTGTCAAGCTTTATACTAACCAAAAATGTTAACACATTGTATATAAACCTCTACTTCTTTTGGTGAAAATTTTTAATCTGCATGGCATTTAACTTAATGCACTTATAAATGAATAGTACATGGGTTTTTAGATATGACTTAAAAACTGCTACCAGTCTCAACATCTCAAATCGCACAGCCAGTAAACATCAAGAATGGCAACAGAGTACCTGTAATGACCAGCACTCCTTTTCTCCACAGTATTTGCTATAAAATGAGATTGGAGTAAACATTTTAGTAGTACACAATTTGGATCTAAACAAGCAATAATTTTAAAACAAATTCAAAGATGAAAACCAATTACTGATTATAAAGGTACGTAATTAAATATTTTAACCGCATGTGACATTTTTAAAACAAAAAGTATATTAACTTATAACATAATGTGCAGAAAAGTGGACTCCCAGACTCATGTCATCACTATAATCAGTATGCAGGGACACAAAACAGAGCACAGTAGACACCACAATTTACCAAAGCCCACTGTGTTTCAGCAACAGTGTCAAATTTCTGTTAGTCTTTTAAATCCTTGAGATCCATGCTAAATATAAAGGCAATTTGAAACAAACAGCTCCTGCTGTAAGTATTGGTTAAGAGAGTGAGTGATGGACATGCTGGCATTCCATCTACAAAGACCCTCCATCTGAGCCAATCAGAACCAAGTTGCACAAAATGTAGAGCAACTAGGAATTGCATGTAGGCCATCAGAATTGGAATTCAGGTTGCAACAATCCACCGACTTCTATGTAATTGTTTATTTCCACTCCAGTTATTGTAGAAAAATAAATCTCACAATACCTCAAGAAGACGGATTAATTTTATTTCTCCACCATTTCTAAAAAGCTGTCTCATTTCTTCATTTTTTTCTTCTGGTTCACTGATCCTTGCGGACTTTCTTCTTGTTTTTCTTCTGTGCTTTTGCTTCTTTCCAAACATCTATAATGAAAGAGTTTAAAAAATTCAAGACTCAAATACACAGTTCAACAGAAATAGAATTATTTCATATGAGAAACATTCGGGCACGTGCATATGAGCACACACACACACACACACACTTGTTGTATATTCAAGAATCACAGCATTCCTAAAAATAAATTCATGTTATATGAAAAATTATTTGGCCTTGATGGAAGAACATGCCACTTTCTGAAAAAATTATAATGTGTGATATGATGACATGAAACAAATTACCTCCAAGTTCATCAAAAGCCACAGTGTTTTCTAGTTCATTCTTGGGTATGGTTTCTGCCCTAGTCTCTGCTGAAAAAAATCAGATAAATAACATTAAAAGACCATTATAGTTCATACAGGATTTAACTATGGAGAAGAAGTTTTTTCAAAAAGCCATCAGTTATTTGACTGATGTAGAAATTTGCCTTTCATTGATCCTGAAGGTTAATTACATGTCCACAACATATTTCCACTGTTCCCTACCAAGCAAGGCTGTATTTTTGCTTAAATCTTCTAATCTGTCCACGTCAGTGTGTAACATTTTATAACACCCTATTATTTACACTGAAAGGATTTTAGTCCCCAAGCTGATGGACCATCTACTGTCAGCAGTCCACAACTATTTAAGCAATACACAGAAGAGAACTTTGGCCATACATTACTGAATGAGCTAATAAAGCTCCTCTGTACAAACACAATTATGTAAATTAAGCGAGATCTGAGGCTTTTACAGCACAGCACAGCACAGGATGATAAAAGAAACATTTCAGTTTCCCTTGCTGACAAACTCCTTATATCAGCAGGCAGTAGCAACTGGTAATTTAGTCTGTAAACTATGCAACAGGAGAACTTGTGACACACGACAGATTTTTTGAAATTCAGTAACCATTTCTAACATTTTCAAGTTAATTGCAGTTCCTGATTCTGAATGGCTGTACTATGTAAATGCAGGCTGTATTGAAAAAGAATCCACATTAGCACTGAACTGTCATTAAAGCCTTGAAATCTTCTACTTTCAAGGGTCACCAATATGAAAGTATGACACTGTAACTTTAAATGAGAGGCCCCTTGCATGACCAAACAAATACTGGTAATAGCAATTCCAATAAACCCACACCAAAACACTGATGTAAGTACATGAAAATTTACCTCTATATTGTGGTCACACTGCTTCTGCTACAGACTTAACATAAATAGTTGATACAGAAACTTCTGAGGCAATAATAAAGAATTAAATTCTTATGCTACAAAACAAATATAAATAATTTCAAGAGGAAGAACTTACCTTCTCCCTTGACTTCATTTTGTTGTTTCTGCTCAACTTGTACCTCAACAACTGGAGGAGGCAGAGTTACTACCTCAGTTTCTATTGCTGTGTCAATTGCCACAGCAGCTTCTGTTTCTGAAGATTTGCCAGATGATTTCTTCTTGCTCTTCTTCTTTGATTTTGTTGCAGTTTCTGGGACAATCCTAGACTCTTCGGTTGATTTTATCTCTGGAGTTGCAGTAACTTCCACAACTGGCACAGCTTCCTCCTCTGGGCTTCTTATAAAATTGAGGGCAACAAATTTATAAGTATTATTTATAGTTTACAACTCTAAACGAGTCAGTAGGAAATTCAGTCACAAGGTAGTAAAAAAATAACTTATGTAGTACTGTCAATTCTGTCACAAAAAATTAAAATTAAGAGACAATTTCCAGTTCCAGCACAGATTCTTGTACCTCACACAAGATGTAATTCATCCTGTACATACGTACTAAATACTATATGTAACTATATTCTACAATGATATGTATAATCATTTTAGAATTATCGCTGAAAACATGAATGCTTACATTTTAACTTCATCTTTTTCTTCTATGTTGGATGGTTTCTTCTCTGGAGTCTTTTCATTATTATCATCATCAAGAATCTTAGTATCTTCAGCATGAACAGTCTCTATATTAGCAGCATCATTGCTTTTAGCTTTCTTCTTCTTAGATGGACTCCCTGTTTCCTTCTTTACTGTTGGAACAACAATACAACATATTAACTATGAATATCAAAAGCATTTGTTTTGATGTGGTTTGTTATAAGGTTCCGAGATCAAATAATGTGGCTGTAATTTTACCTGTAAAATCAGAATGAGAATTTAAACAAAATTAATTCTGCCCACTTGCAACTTTATTTCCTATAGCAAAATATTCAGGAGACAAAAAACTGGGTGGCACATTTTAACTCAAAAGTCATGCCACTTTTGCAAGATTTAATAATTCACAATGATTAGTTTCTGATTTATAATAAAACATTTTTATAGACTTGTATATATTTGCAAACCTACAGTGAATGTAACTAGCAATGTCATATCTGATCACTGACCATGGTATAATGTAAATAACAAAGAGTTTAATAATACTAACTGAACATCAATTTATGGAGTGCACTTCCACCAAGAACCCTACACTGCACAGAAGTGTGAGGTGGACTCAAAAAACAGAATTAATTCATTTATGAGTTCTTGATTGTGAAGCAGAACTGCATCTGAATATCTTAATCCTCAACATGGGTTATGTTACATTCTGAAAAAATACTACATTCATTCAAGTACAATTTCTGTAGAGAAATAAATATTTATTTCATGCAGAAACAATAATTACAAACCTGCAACACAAACACATAAGCAGTAATTTAAGATGTTCTATCATATGTCCCTGTTGATAGGGAGGATTTAAGAAGCCATGCTAAAGAAATAAACTTGGAATAATGTGTAAAAAAAGTATTTACCTATGTTTTCTGGAACAGCATCATCAGTAGTCAAAGGATCATCCTTTTTCCGATTTTTCTTGTCTTTTCTCGATAGTGCTTGCTCCCACTCCCCTGATAATGACAAAAATCATTAACCAACTTCTCTTGAATAAAACAAACCTAATATCTTTAAGTCCAGAGAAAAATTTTGTCATAAGCTAACCCAAAATTAAACTACAGATTTTATCAGAAAATGGTCCACAGAAGACATCTAAAACAAAGAGAAACTTGAAAGTTATTCTGATTTGTTATAAGGTTTTACTTAAAGGCAATTTTGGTTACTATTCTTATCCTGCCTAAAGGTCTTATTAATCAACTTATTATTTCATTACCATCATCAAAATCAATTGGCTTTTCTTCTGCCCTCAGCTTTGCAAGATTCTTTTCATTCTTCTTGTTCTTAATCTGTTCCACTTGATTCTCCTTTCCTTTGCCCTTTGATTGTTTAGGAGAAGAACTTTTGTTACTGTCCTTAGATGGAGATTTTTCTAAAATATCCTGCTTCCTTTCCTTCAGTTGCTTTGACAGGGGTTCTGAAGCTTCCTTCTTGCTTTCTTTCTGGATTTTGATAGCCACAGACTTGTTGACAGTTTCTTTGGTTCCTGGTTTACTCTGTTGCTCTTTAGCAGGAGATGTTTCCTGTTTGTTCTGTTTCTGATGCTTCCCAGCAGCCTTGTTAGAAATATCCTTTGAAGGAGACTTCTCGATATCATGCCTACTTTCTCTTCCTTGTTTTGGCACAACTTTACTGGTGTTTGATTTTGAGCTACCTGCATCATTTTGTTTCTGTTTTGTTTCTGCAATGTCTTCATTTACATTTGTTACATGGCCATTTGACTGTATCTTCTGCAAAAGGAAAACAAAATATGATCAGTTCTGAGGTCACTGCATAAACCCTTAAACACTCTACAAAAGCAGATGCACATCACTACAAATGTAACTGCAGCAGCATTTCTGGTTACATTTTCCCAAATTGGATCTAAATATTGTTTAGTAATTTACAGTCAACTACAGCATTGCCACACAAAAAAGCATAACCAATACTGCTTCCTTACATGTATTTATAATAGCTGAGAATTTTTGGATGGAGTAAATTCTTCTATGGAGTAGGAGTGAGATAGGATGCATAAATGTACCGAAAAAACTTGATAAATCAGTGCGTTCCTTCTCAAACAACGAGAATACTACCTTGTCCTTCGTTTTTCGTTTCTTGCCAGCTGGTTTCCGGTCATCGCCCGTATACGTGAGCTGAGCAAACGCAGGTTGCTCTGCAGATTTGAAACCAAATGCAAATACCAACACAGCACATATTAATACAACTCCAACTGGAAAAGCATACTGTGTGTTGACAACCTCCGATAATTCCATCTTGGTGTAAATTTTCCACGCACTCACATCAACAACTATCACTCATTTGCCAGGTGATCATAGATGATGACACGTACGTAAGGTCACCACTCACTGTGACCAACGTGGTGAGTTTATTACAAACTTTCTCAAGGAACGTGCTCAATTCTGTCTGGGGAATTTTAACAGTAATTGGGAAATTGTAATTATTACCATCACAATCTCCCAATGAAATTGAAAAGTTTCGATTAGAATTTCCCATCATAGTTGGGAAAGTTTTAAAATTGAAATTACCCAAAAATTGGAAAATTGACAAGAATTATTTTTACTTTTGAAAACGTTTAAAAGAAATATTGTTCTTGTAACGCATTAATGTGACTATATATTTATACCAAAATGAACCACTTTTATAGTATCTAATAACATGTTTTTGTTAATATACTTAAAATGACCTTCAAACGTTTTTATGGTTATGTATCAAGTAACAAACAAAAACACTTCCATTAGATTACAATGTTTCATATTTCATACGTTGTTACGGAAAATAAAAATAAAAATTTAATATAAGTATGTGCATATCAACGACAAACTAAGACGATATATACTTAAAGGATAATGTCTGACTATGCGAAATATCGCATACTAACATATTGAATTACATGAATTGTAGATATTCCACTTTGCCTATAACTGCTAGAAAATGTTTAGTTTGGGAAAGAGAGTTGCATTGAAGCATTAGTTAAAACTAAAGGAACTTCCATGTTTAAATGTTGGTAAAGAAAGTAAATCGACATTCTGACCGAATAATGAAGTGTGTTATTAAAACATATATTTTCACATTATAAAAACATACATGTTACAGTACTTAAATTTGATTAGTCTGATATTGAGGATAATTGCCGAATTAAGGAACAATAGCTTTAAATTTCACTACAGTATTAGCTCCGTTAAAAATGGCTTCCTGTGTTGATTGATTAGAATAATGGCGTTGTAAAGTGTTTGACATTATTAAGTACTTTACATTTGAAGAATGATGTTGTTATTCTTTTAGGTAACGATGCAAAGGACTTTTAAAACCAAAGAAATGTTTATTGTTAGAGCTCTAGAAAAGATACTTAGCGACAAAGATATAAAGCGATCGCACCACTCCCAGTTGAAACGGGCTTGTGAGGTGGCATTGGGTAAGTTGCTCATTTTGTTTTGAAATATGTTAACAGACTTTATTTAAAAACACTTTGATTGACCACAGTAAGTGGCGGTTATACTGTAAGTAGTTTTGCATTGCATGTAATTGAATGGTTGATATCTTTTAAGACAAGTTTTCATTAATTGTAATAGCTCTTAATCTTGGTTAAATTTGTTGATTAATTGTCATAACCTTACATTGTGATTATGTATATAGAAGAGATACGAAATGAACTGAAAGATGGAGGTCAGGATGGCCCTAACTCATCATCTGCCTTGCCATTACCAAAGAATGATGAAGCCAATATCATTACAGCAGAGAAATACTTTCTTCCATTTGAATTGGCATGTCAGAGCAAAGCAGCTAGGATTGTTGTCACAGCTCTTGATTGTCTTCAGGTATATAACTTGTTACTGAACTAGTGTTTTGTAAAGTACAGATTTTATTCTCATGCTACATACATTTGTAAATCAAACTTATTCATTTCAGAAACTCATAGCTTATGGACATTTAACTGGAAATATTCCTGACTCAACTACTCCAGGAAAATATCTTATTGATCGCATTGTTGAAACAATATGTGGATGTTTCAGTGGCCCACAAACAGATGAAGGGGTTCAGTTACAAATAATAAAGGTAATAGAATTTATAAATTTTATAAATGTGTAAGCATTGTGATCCATTACTGAAGTCATATTGTTAGGCTGATATGCATATTACTAGAGACTTCTCAGAAAGGTGATTAAATGTGGGACATTTTGAGAGGTCTACCTTATGTAAGTTTTTGATGGTTTTTATTTGTTTACATCCTTTCTTCCCTTTTATATGTTTAATTTGTATTGTTACATGAAGTTTGCGTGAATATGTTTGCAGTTTTATATTTACTATGAGTATCAACATTATACTGTGAGTACTTAACTAGAGAGATTAATGAAAATGGCTGTCTTCTGGGTTTGTGCACCATGTGGTCTGATAGAAATTTATCAACATTTTAGAGGTCCTTGCTCCATCCATCATCAGGGCGATGATCACTCATTGCCCTGATTATGGAAGCATAAGGACCTCTGAAATGACGGTAAATTATAATTCTGACTGTGTAATATGAGCAACTTTGCAACAATAGATTATACCATTTTATCACTAGCAAAACCTGAATTAAATTGCATAACTGTACTTTTCAGGTTTAAGTACACTGTTTGCTAGCCATATTTTAGCATTTGTACAATGTTATACAGGTTTACCTGTACCATAAAAACAACCAAAAAGTCAATTATATCTTCTTGTTCTTCCTTATGTCATTACCACACTTGTGGGTCAATTCCCATATCCATTCTGTAAGATAGAAGCAATATTCAAGTAGGGGAATGCTTGTCAGCATCATATACAGTGAGGACATGCCCCTGACAACCTTAGGGTAGCTGAGAAAGCCTGTCACATACTTTGAAAATACAGCCAAGGGCCACGGTGAAGCTGTGATAGGCCAGTAAGGCAACGGTGGATGAATATATGGTTTCAGTAAATAAAAGTCAGTTATGTACATAGTTTTAATGTGATCATATTTACATGGTAACTCATTCACTGTATTGTCAGGATATTTTTTGCAAAGTTGATTATATACACAGCTTGTGAAAGTATAGCCCACTTTCTTTATGAAACCCAAAGATTCATCACCATGCTCACAGAAGCCTGCCATCGAACCCTATCATACATTGCCTAGGTCATATTTACATGTTAACGTAAATCTTTTATTAATCCCTTGTATCTAGGCCTTGCTGACAGTTGTAACAAGTCAGCATGTTGAAGTTCATGAAGGGACAGTTCTTCTGGCAGTACGAACTTGTTACAACATATACCTGGCTAGCAAGAACCTGATCAATCAGACAACAGCTCGTGCCACATTAACTCAGATGCTGAATGTCATCTTCACACGCATGGAAAGTCAAGCAGTAAGTGGAAAAGGTTCATTACACTTTTTGTTAGGATAATGTTTGATATGGCTTGTTTTGGATGGAGGACATACCCATTAACCCTTCAGCGTGGGAGCATTTAAATCCGAAGTCTATACTGTGCTGTGGGAGGATTTTTTGCTTGGGTATTTAATTTTGAGCTTGAAAGTGCATCATTTTACTTATATGGGCACAACTTCCCTAATAATTGATGAATTTAAGTGAAACTTTGAACAAAATGTTCACAACACACTATGCTTCGGTCGTCTACAGTTCTATCAATGTCTTGAGGAGACAAAAAACGTCTGTTACTCGAAGCCATAATCGCGGCTGACTGACGGCAGATATGTGCTACAGAAGTCCGTTCATACCAAGCTTGTTGACATCATATACCGTTGCAAAGCTTGCAATATGTCCTACACAGCTGTCGTAGCCGTAACTATATTACTTCATTCATCTTCGATAGAGGGAGCCACAGAGCAGAGATTGAATGCAGTTGAGTTCAATAATCGATCTATATTTCAAAGTCGAAAAACACTGATAAAATCGATCTGTCAGAGTCATGTTATATATCAATCGACAGCCAGCTTTTTTCTCTACACAGCTACTGGAGCCAGAATACATAAACCACAAGGTCAGTCGCTACGTAGAAGGAGAAACCTTAGCGCGCATTATGCGAGCAGTGCTCGGCACTCTACGCCATGGGATGATTACGTCATGACGAGCGATGTTCGGTACTCCACGCTGAAGGGTTAAGAGAATCCACAACTTCTTTTGTACAATATAAACCTGAAAGATGAACAGTCACCTTCACAATTACATATGTTTCTAATAGGGAGATGTTGCTCTCATCTGTTGTGGCTACTTCTTGTATTTTAAATTGTTAACTTTGTAGGAATTACCATTAAAATGTCATAATAATTATTTATAAACACTTAGAGGGACCTGGTATTTGAAAAATTATGCAAACAAATGTCACAGAATTGATGATTTTTAAAGATCGCTATTGAGTGATATGTGGATCTGTTTGTAATATGAAGTTTGTAGCATTTTTAATAGGCACTGTGGCTTGCAGCTAAGTAAGCAAGAGTGAGATCTGGAGAAGGTTGAGAACCTGTATCCTCAGTTACAGTACATCTGTTATAGTACAGTATAGCTTTTCTTCCATGCTTAATTTGTTTAGTATGGAATGTTTTCCTCAGTATCATGTGAAATATTCAGAAAATACAGAGAGTATAAGATAAAAACTGAAAGAACCCTGTTGAAGGAATATTAATATTTACCAGTCAGTTTTGCTTCCAGGCAGATGATATTAACAAAGGGAAAGAAAATGTGGAGGGAATGGAGTTGAACCAAGGTGAAGCAAAGCCATCAGACTACCTGGATGGAGGAACTGATAAATGTGAGAAGAAAGCTGAGGGTGTCATCCAGTCTGAATCTGAGATGAGTCATCGTGACATGGTACGAGGGATGTTGATTGGCATTGTAGATACTGTGGTTCAAGGTATGTTTGTTACTTTCATGAAATTCATAGGAAATTTACAGAATAATTTTAAGTTTCCACACTGCATTTGAGAACACTCATGTTACATTCAGAGATTTATTTAAAAATTATTCAATGATCATATATCCAACCAAAATACATGTAGAGTGAGAGATCGATGCTCGCTATGCACTATCAATAACACTTCGAGCTGAAAGTCGATGGTTGCTTTATCAATTTTCAAAGAAAGTGGAAATGATGAAATAATCATCAAAACTTGATTTTTTCTAACATTTTTGTTAGTTTGAGTCAAGCCGAGTTTTTTTTAAACTTGACTCAAAATTTCAAGCAATTCACACATCACTAATATTACACATCCATGTTAGATAGAGATGGCTTCATATGAGGTAGTCCACAAATCAGTTTTGAATAATGAAGTAAAAAAGATGTTTTGTTGTCCGTTCATGTTATACAGAGCCAGTTGTCTTAACTGTCAACTGTGATTACTCCTGAGAGACAAAATACAACCTACTTCTATGTCACAGTGATTACTCAGTCAGTGCTGTAAAAAATTGTCAGTATGTCCTGAATTAAATTATGTTATGCAAAATAATTATTCTGAATAAAACTTACAGCAAGAAACTAAACAAGGAGGCAGTGGAATCTTTCTGAGATTGAGACTTTCATGGCATTAAAGATGACAATGTTGCTCTCGGTTTTGATGTTTTGTAGATAACATTTTGGAGAAGCGTTGGTATCTATCTGCGGATGAACACAAAAGCTAAAACCCAGAAGTTCAACAACATCGATGTAATCTTTGTTCATTGTTTTCTGAATTATGGTGAATTTGAAGACTAAACTGTTAAAAGTCTTACATACATGTGGAGTTTAACACTGATATAGTTATGCTGTAAATAGTTATAAAATGTTATAAATGTTTATGGTAATGTGCAGATGCTGTAATGTTCTTTCTCATTTCAGGCTGTGAAGGTGATGGAGCAACACTGAGAACAAATACAAGTGCTGAAGAGAGTGGAGATTCATTCAGTCCAGTGCTGGAATCTCAGTCTGACAATGGTAGCCTGCAGAATCAACCCACAACTCCATCCATCACTCGTGTACCCTCTCAGGTGTTGTTATGTTAACTTGTGCATGTGCAACTCTTATCATTCAAATGATTCCTAAAGAATCATATTGGGCTCAGACTTAATATGAATCTTTTAATTGATTCTTGATTTGTTTAATGATGTGTATGTTGGATGGTTGTGAATTTTGAACTCAAAAGGATGTTGGAGGAAATGATCCAGTCATTTCCAGAAACGTGTGTGGCCGAAGTGTGGTCATATGATTGAGTGGACTACACAAGTTATGATTGTCTGAACATTAGCACTCGTCATCACAATTAATTGATATTAACATACTTGATTTTGTGTGTTGATTTATCTGCGATTTTTGCAGGAGAGCATGGATGTGAATGAAGCAGACACAGCTGTTACAGCAAAGTTTACTCATGTCCTTCAGAAAGATGCATTTCTTGTGTTCAGAGCCCTCTGCAAGCTGTCCATGAAGCCGCTTCCCGAAGGACAGCCAGATCCAAAGTAACTTTATGTCATTTTGTGTAGTAATGTACAGTAGAACATTGCATCTGATAAACTTATTACACTAAACTTTTTCGTTTTGTAACTTTATTTACTTTTATGTGTACAAAGAAATGCACCATTAATTAAAAGTAAACAAATAAAGTACACAGCTCTAACAATTCATATTCCTAGGTACGTAGCAGAAAGAATTACAAGTGAAAATAACCTTAATAACTGATGCACCTGGAAATCCATGTGTACAGACTGGCTTTAGAGACCAGACAGCGTCATACCTAATGTGTACTTAGCTATTTATATATTTAAAGATATTTATAGTGAATAAATAAATGCGAAATATCAACACACTTTTTACTGACAGACCTGTATAGCATAAAGAAAAGAAAGAATGTAATTCTGAGATATTGAGAAAACAGTGTCATTAAACAATGTTACAGTCATTAAAATAATTCTTTTACTTATCTTGTTTTATGTCATACTGACAGCATGAGTGAGTGATATGGTCAGTAGAAAAATTCCTGCAGAACTGTGAAACAAATCATGGTCATCAAGCCGACATTAAATCGTCATACTGAATGAGCTATCCCTGCTCAACTCTGACAGCTATGTACACTGTTACAGGTCACATGAGTTACGCTCAAAGATTCTATCCCTCCATCTTCTGTTGTCAATCCTCCAGAATGCTGGTCCAGTATTCAGAGCCAATGAAATGTTTGTGACAGCAATCAAGCAGTATCTGTGTGTAGCCCTCTCGAAGAATGGAGTCTCCTCCGTCCCTGAAGTGTTTGAACTTTCACTAGCAATATTTCTTGCTCTTTTGTCAAAGTTCAAGATGCACTTAAAAATGCAAATTGAGGTATGATACTTCATGGAACATCATAAGTTTTGTACTTTATGTTTTGAATTGGGCTTGAATAACCTGACTGAATTCTAACTTTAATACTTTGTTAGTAGAATGTATTTTGTCTGATTTCATATTTTAAAATTGTGGTCTAAAAATGTGGATAGAAACATTTCCTCTTTCATTTAAGCAAAGATCCCACATCAGTTCAAAGCTGTACAGGTACTGCTAAATTTAATTGCAATCCAAATAGCGGATTTATTGATCTGAAGATTTTTTTAATTCTACGAACCCTGAAACATACCGAAATGTTTTTATTCAGCTTTTTATTTTCAAGATTTGTTCCCAGTACAATGTTGTAAATTCAACAAAGCATAGGTGTTTCAAAATGATTTTAGCTTAAGCTGCGTGTACTTTTGCATAGTTGATACGAATTTTGCTCAAAATTCATTTTAATGGCTACACGTCGTAAAATGTGAAACAATGTGTAAGAGTCAACAGACGTTATTAACTTTATATTATTCTGCAGGTATTCTTCAAGGAAATTTTCTTAAATATCCTGGAAACATCGAGCTCTTCATTTGAACATAAATGGATGGTGATTCAAGCTCTAACCAGGATCTGTGCTGATGCTCAGAGTGTTGTTGACATTTATGTTAATTATGATTGTGACTTGTCTGCAGCAAATCTCTTTGAAAGGTAAACCTTTTTGTAAAAAGCGTAATTCAGGGAATTATATATTTGTAATATTGTTCAGAATTCTGAAATTATTTGTTGCACTGAAATGTAGAAATGTTATTTTACAGTACATCTTACGTTGAATGAGTCATTACCCTGTCTGGTTTGTCTGTATTCCCGTGTGCATGGAGCATTGCTATTTTGTAGTGATTATGTTGAAATCTGATTTTGAGGGTGTTTTTCGACTTTGCATTAAAGTGTAATTTTAGATATATTTTGATAAATGCTGAGTAGACTGAAAATGTTTAAGATAAAAATTGTTGCTTTTAATAAGACAGACATTTTGTATTACATTTTCTGTATACAGTACATTTTTCTCGATGATGTATATTAGATTAAGGTACTTTTCCAGCCTTGGTGAAAAATGGTATAAGTGTTAAACAGTAATCTGTATTTATAAACAAACTCAAGTAATTTGAGATACGGTATGTGACTTTCCATTCGTACGCATCTTTAACAGTGAAAAGCAGTTTTACCGTGAATAACAGGTAGTACGGAGTGACATTTTAAATGTCGCAAAGATAATTTTCTCTGCTTGTTACTGCTTATAAATTGTGAATTGCTATATTTCATACTCCCTTCATGTTATTTTCTGTTTAGACCAAAATGAAGGTCACATTTGTCATTGCAATGCCTAGATTTCATGATGCTAGAGAATCACAGTGTTTTATAATGACAGTAATTTTTTATTTTATGCCATATTCTTAGTAGTGGGCTTTTATTGTACAGTATTCACAATGGGCATTGTTATTTTGTACTGCAGACTAGTCAACGACCTGTCAAAGATTGCTCAGGGGCGACAAGCTCTGGAATTGGGTGCTACACCAAATCAAGAAAAGTCAATGAGGATTCGAGGTTTAGAGTGCTTAGTTTCTATTCTGAAATGTATGGTAGAATGGAGTAAAGATCTTTATGTGAATCCTAACTCTCAAACAACTTTGGGTAAGCACGTTGAGAGTCATATTGTAAATTATTACAGTATTTACTTTTCACTTCTGAGGGTTTTTTTCTGAAATGATTTGTATTTTTAAAATTGTATAAAAGACATTTTTGTGAACTTATATCAAGTTACTTTCACCTAAATATAGTATGTAACAATTAGCAGAAAATATGGGATTGATCTCTATATATTTCACCCCAGTTTCTGGATTGAAACTTTTGAATAAAAGGTACCTGTGTAAATATTATTTGTCTTTAATATGTGCTAATATGTACTTGAGCTACTATTACTTCACTTTTATCAAACTCTGTGCCATGCCCCACATTATTATTACTTTTGTAATGTTCAGAGTACATAAAATCTCTGAACTGAAGTTCCTTATCTTCTTTTATAAATTTGGTAACTTGGTACAGTTCATGAAATTCCTTTCTTGCATTACAGTTATTTAGATTCTGAATATTTTTTATATATATAAAAGAAGACAAATCTATTGAATTCTGAATTTGATGATACAGTTGTAATAGAGATTAGTGTTGGTAAGATTACCTTAAATATAAAGGATTTTATTATGAATTTTATTGAAAATTGTATAATTTTAAGTAATTATTTTGTACATAATTTGAAATAATGACTTTTTGTTTCAAAAGTTAACATCTAAATTTTTTTGGACAGTCATGAATTACTGCTTATTACTCTGTGAAGGATACCATGATTTTAACTTACATAGGTGCTGATCGTCACAAGGAAACTGACAGTGAGTTGGTACCTCCAAAAGGTAACAGCAGCATTAAGTCTTATGGCAGTAACAACAGCCTCAATTCTGGCAGTTCAGGACAGGGGAGTGTGATTGGTTCTGGCAACAACAGAGAAGCTCCTGACACACCAGAACAGTTTGAAGTGCTCAAACATCAGAAGGAAATCTGGGAAACAGGCATTACTTTGTGAGTAGTGACTCTTTTAGGTTCATTGATAGATTATTTAATGGTTTTGGATCAGCCACAGACATGTTAAAATGATTAGGAATTATTTGTTTGAAAGTACATGGCCACTTCATGTTGTTACTCCAGCATCTACCCTGAAGAACCAACTTGTCAATATATCCATTTTCTTAGCTGAAGTTTTAATCAGATATCTTTCAAATATGTCACCATCTCACATGTGCTAGATTTAAAACATAGTATTTTAACATTCCCTCGGTGGACCAGTGGTTTGCGGGTTCAAACCTGGCTGAGGTTGATGGATTTCTAAGGGTGATAAAAATCTGCAGCAGAACTTCCTTTTGGAGGGGAAGTAAAGCTAGCAGTCCCAAGTTGCAGATTAATGGCATGTAAAAGAACCTTACGAGCATGAACGAGATGTTTCATAAGCAAAATTCAGCAGCCATTTTCTCACCCTCGTCTATCCTGATTCACTACTAAGTGGCTCTAGTAAACAATTCCTATTCAATCAGGGACGAGATCTCTTATAACTTCAGTACCCTGAGGACAAGGATGAAGATGGTTCTCAAAACGTGGTGTTTTCTCCATTAAACCATCTTACATGGCTGGTAGCTTTAGAAGAATTTATTAGACATATCATATCTGGCCTTATATGAATAATATTAATCTGATACTTTTATCATTAAATGGTAATTTATTCTCGCATGTGATTGAAAATATTAGAAGGTACCATGAAATAAATGCAGAAAAATAGTTTTGTGTGGCTGTGAATCTAAACCTTCCATGACCATGAAAAAAAATCTTCTGTTTCAGGTTCAGTAGGAAACCGAAGAAAGGTATACATTTCCTTCAGGAGCAGAGGTTATTGGGTAATACATCTGCTGAGATTGCAGAATGGTTACATGCAAATGATCGTTTAGATAAAACTGGCATCGGAGATTTTTTAGGGGACAGTGATGATTTCAGTAAGGAGGTATGACTTCTGAAGAATCTGCCTTTACCAAAGTTTCATATCTTTTAATAAAGCTTTTAGCTACCTGAATCGTTTGTTATTTAAAGTGCTCTCTTCTTTCTTTCTTTCTTTTCAGGTAATGTATGCATATGTCGACCAGATGGATTTTGGCAATAGAGATATGGTGTCAGCATTACGCTACTTTCTGGAGGGATTCCGTCTACCTGGTGAAGCTCAGAAGATTGATAGACTGATGGAGAAATTTGCTAGCAGATACTGTGAATGCAATCCAAAGTAGGTATTTCTTTACGTACGATATTTTGGCTCTGTGGTATTGCAAGATTTACTTGCATAATTTTCTTCATTTTTCTATCTTGTTTCCCTTTTTTAAAAAACCATAACATTGAGTAAAGAATAAATACAGTTTTCCATAATAAGTTTTCATAACTACCTCGTTTAATTGATGTTGACTAATACGAACAATTTTTAATTTACAGCAATGGATTATTTGCAAGCGCAGACACAGCGTATGTGCTAGCCTATTCTGTGATAATGCTAACCACAGATTTGCACTCTCCACAAGTAAAGAGTAAGATGACTAAAGAGCAGTACATTCGTCTGAACCGTGGAATCAGTGACAGTAAGGACCTACCTGAGGAATACCTGTCCAACATCTATGATGAGATTGCTGGTCATGAAATCAAGATGAAGGGAACAGTGAATAAACCAGGAAAACAATGTAATTTGTGAAAAAAGTCTTTCTTAGATAAATAAGGTTGAATATTTATTGTGCAAATTTATCTTTTTTTGTGAAAGGTGTAATTTTTATAATCCTGCCACAGTCTAAGGGTGATAAAAATCTGCAGCAGAACTTCCTTTTGGAGGGGAAGTAAAGCTAGCAGTCCCAAGTTGCAGATTAATGGCATGTAAAAGAACCTTACGAGCATGAACGAGATGTTTCATAAGCAAAATTCAGCAGCCATTTTCTCACCCACGTCTATCCTGATTCACTACTAAGTGGCTCTAGTAAACAATTCCTATTCAATCAGGGACGAGATCTCTTATAACTTCAGTACCCTGAGGACAAGGATGAAGATGGTTCTCAAAACGTGGTGTTTTCTCCATTAAACCATCTTACATGGCTGGTAGCTTTAGAAGAATTTATTAGACATATCATATCTGGCCTTATATGAATAATATTAATCTGATACTTTTATCATTAAATGGTAATTTATTCTCGCATGTGATTGAAAATATTAGAAGGTACCATGAAATAAATGCAGAAAAATAGTTTTGTGTGGCTGTGAATCTAAACCTTCCATGACCATGAAAAAAAATCTTCTGTTTCAGGTTCAGTAGGAAACCGAAGAAAGGTATACATTTCCTTCAGGAGCAGAGGTTATTGGGTAATACATCTGCTGAGATTGCAGAATGGTTACATGCAAATGATCGTTTAGATAAAACTGGCATCGGAGATTTTTTAGGGGACAGTGATGATTTCAGTAAGGAGGTATGACTTCTGAAGAATCTGCCTTTACCAAAGTTTCATATCTTTTAATAAAGCTTTTAGCTACCTGAATCGTTTGTTATTTAAAGTGCTCTCTTCTTTCTTTCTTTCTTTTCAGGTAATGTATGCATATGTCGACCAGATGGATTTTGGCAATAGAGATATGGTGTCAGCATTACGCTACTTTCTGGAGGGATTCCGTCTACCTGGTGAAGCTCAGAAGATTGATAGACTGATGGAGAAATTTGCTAGCAGATACTGTGAATGCAATCCAAAGTAGGTATTTCTTTACGTACGATATTTTGGCTCTGTGGTATTGCAAGATTTACTTGCATAATTTTCTTCATTTTTCTATCTTGTTTCCCTTTTTTAAAAAACCATAACATTGAGTAAAGAATAAATACAGTTTTCCATAATAAGTTTTCATAACTACCTCGTTTAATTGATGTTGACTAATACGAACAATTTTTAATTTACAGCAATGGATTATTTGCAAGCGCAGACACAGCGTATGTGCTAGCCTATTCTGTGATAATGCTAACCACAGATTTGCACTCTCCACAAGTAAAGAGTAAGATGACTAAAGAGCAGTACATTCGTCTGAACCGTGGAATCAGTGACAGTAAGGACCTACCTGAGGAATACCTGTCCAACATCTATGATGAGATTGCTGGTCATGAAATCAAGATGAAGGGAACAGTGAATAAACCAGGAAAACAATGTAATTTGTGAAAAAAGTCTTTCTTAGATAAATAAGGTTGAATATTTATTGTGCAAATTTATCTTTTTTTGTGAAAGGTGTAATTTTTATAATCCTGCCACAGTATCTGCTTATGTTCTCATTTTTAGTGGTGCTGTTTATAGCAACAGGCCCATTCATATGGGGGTAGAATCAACATTCTAAACGGAGTAGTGGTCTTTCTGAAATCCTGCACAAATAAAAAATGTTTCCTTCAATGACCACTATAAATTCTAGTTTCTATGTAGAAAACATTACACGTGGTTGATCAGTGACCTTTGTAGACAAAAGTATTGCACATATTTGTATAGTATAAATTTAATTTATGCTGTAAAACATAAAACAAAGTTTGTTTTTGCTATTTAGACTTAGGAACGAGTTATCATAGTACTTTGCATAGTGAAATATGGCATTGTTTATTCCTAAATATCTTATAAAATTATTTATATACAGCTGATTGTTATTACTTGAAAATTGAATTTAAGTCGGTTGTAGGTGATTTGTTTTGTTATTGTCAAAAGTGTGTCTTGATTTTTCCCTCATAGTAATCTCAGGTGATGATTTTTTCTCGTAGTAATCTCAAGTGAAAAGCGACGACGTTTCCTATGGAATGTGGAAATGGAGGTGATCTCTACAGCTGCTAAGAACCTGATGGAATCTGTGAGCCACGTCCAGGCTCCTTTCACATCTGCAAAACATCTTGAACATGTACGGCCAATGTTTAAGGTGAGAATATGCATATAACCATAATGACTGTTTATGCAAGTGAGTCTAGGTGAAAATATCAAATGAAAATTTGTATTGGAGCATTCCATTTTGTGTGTGTAGTGCAGAATTTTTATTATACATATGCTCTCGTTAAATTATTTGTATAGAAGTTTGTCAAAACAGCATTGTTTAAATGCTTCATTGTGTTATTAACTAACTGTGTTGTAGAATTCTCCATGAAAAGTAGCCACTCAGTTTGTCAGAAAATGTTCCCCTTTTGTGACACCTGAATATTCATTCGCATGTTCACAAGAAACTACCTCTGGACCCTATCTTAAGCCATATAAATTCAGTCCATATCCTCAGATCCTGTTTCTTTAAAATCTTTTTTTATGTTATTCTACCATAAAAAACATCCCAAGCTGTCTGTTTTCTTTGCATATTCTGGCCAAATTTTTATGTGTATTTTTAATTTTCCCCAAGCATCGTCACAGATAAGTTCAGCTGAAACATTGGTAACAACCTACAAGACTGCGTAGTGTCACAACCAAGAAGACACATCAACATCTTCACCACCATTAGAATCTCAGCCTGTTTGTTATAAAGTTACTATCATAGCACACTGAATTTAGCGTAATTCACTGATGTGACATTGTCTGCTGTTGTGTTATATTTTATAATAACTAATTTATTGCACACAATTTAAATATTTTTTTCAGATGGCTTGGACTCCCTTTCTGGCAGCATTTAGTGTGGGGCTGCAAGACTGTGACGATCCTGAAATTGCATCCCTTTGCCTTGATGGAATCAGATGTGCCATCCGGATAGCTTGCATTTTCCACATGACGGTTAGCTGATATTCTGTGTTGAAGTTTGTTTTGTACAATGCAATTTCTACATTGTTGCTTAAGAAGAGCTTATTTTAAGTAATGTGTACTTTTTGCAACTTCTTACAAAGTTATGTAATTCTTATTTCAGCTGGAAAGGGATGCGTATGTCCAGGCACTGGCCAGGTTCACATTGCTAACTGCTAACTCACCTATCACTGAAATGAAGGCTAAGAATATTGATACTATTAAAACTCTCATCACTGTTGCTCATACTGATGGTAAATATTTAAATTTTATTTTAAAAATAAAATGATAATGTGCTGGTTGATGCTTTACAAGTGGTGTGATTGGTAGACTATCTGATATTTGGATCTGTTACTGATTTCATGTTGCAACTGAGTGGCTACCACTTCTTTTTGTTTGGGAGGTCCCAGATTAAAATGATTACTTGTCCTAACAGGCAAATTTATGTAGTGCTTCAGAGTCGCCAAGTTGTAAGTCACGTTGGCAAAAAATTCCTATCAATACTGAAGATAATTGACTCCTTGAATAAGCGACCCATATAATACAAATGATGTACTCAGTTCTGCAGTTTGTGTCTAAGAAGACATGATAAGTTGTTTAGTACATGTTGGAAGAGCCGTTTGCTATGGTTGGGGTCCGTCATAATTTTATTATGATTAATAAATGTTGCTACAAATTCTTAGAAATTCACTTTATGTTTCAGGTAATTATCTGGGAAGCTCATGGCTTGACATAGTGAAGTGCATTTCACAGCTAGAACTTGCTCAGTTGGTGGGTACAGGAGTTAGACCTCAGTTTATATCTGGACCCAGGTCACATCACAATGATCATTCCTTTCCAGATCCTCTGAAGTTGAATCTCAGCTCTTTTGATCGTAAGTACCGTCGAGTTTTCAGTGTACATGTGCATGATGTTTACTTTCATAATTTTAACTTTTCAGACATGTTTTTCAACAGTGCATGGGTGTGTATAGATTTTTCTTTTTGTCTATGTTGATCTGTGCACTTATCATTTGGATAAATGAATCTTAATTAAAATTGGTATTGCACATTCTTACTAATGTTCATCATCCAAATGGAATTTTAGACCATATTGACACAAAGATGTATCTTATGTGAGACTTGAGGTTTTCATTGTCTTGAAGATGTTGATTGTGATCTTCTGGGTTGTAACATTGTATAAACTTGTGGGTGATTGCCATCATTTCAAAGGAATGTATTCTGACATTTTAAAATGGTTTTTCACTATCCCTGTCATAAAGAATTTTTGTTGTAGGAAAAGTTGAGTTATATTTGATTATTTACTTGCAGCTAGCGTAAAAGAATCAATCGAAGAGACGAGTTCACAAAGCGTTGTTCTTGCAGTGGACAGAATCTTCACAGGTTCCACTCGATAGGATGGTGATGCCATTGTAGACTTCGTTTGTGCCCTCTGCCAGGTGAGAATACTTTTTCAAGCATGTGCATTATTCTGTACCGAGCCCAG